GGGGCTTTTCCCGGGAAACCCCCGGACCCCCCCCCCCCCCAACCCTTTATCAAACCTCAAGTTGTACCAGACAATTCACAATTTGGAAGCGGACGGGGCATGGTTGGGCCCAGCACAGCCCCTCCTTAGTGTAGCAGTTGTGGAATGGCACACACCAGCCCACGCAGCCCCTGGCAGGGCAGGCAGCACCCTTCACCCCTGTCCACCCCTGGGAAGGGGTTTTCCCTACCCCACAGCAGCCAAGCCTTGAGGTCAAGGCTGTGCCATTCCTCTCCAGGCCATGGAAAAGGATCTGTGCAACTGGTGCATCACCCTGGGCAGGACAACCTGAGCCCCCACTGCAGGTAGCTGCCAGCCAGGGCAGGCTGGAGCACCAGGCCACCAACAAGGCACAGCCAGACCCAAACCTAGCTGCAGGGCACTCACCCACCACCTCTCTGTGCCACCCCAGTACAGAACATCAAGACCAGCACAACCAGAGCAAGAGCTGCCAACGGGAAGACAGTGATTGCCCAGAGCCAGGGAGCAGCAAGGATGTCCAGACCTGCTGCTGTAACCACATCCACATGTCTTAGTCCAGACTCCAGCTGAGCACCAGGATACAGGTTGCCCAGGTGGGCAGCCAGCACCACAACATACCTCCCATCCTGTGGGAGGGCAGGGGGAGACCTCTACGTCCAGAGAAGGTCCCCCAAGGTCCCACGCTAGGCCTCAGCCCGTTCTTGGAGGAGCTTGAGGATGTATTTGAGGCGCTGGTGGAGCTCAGGAGAGCAGCCCAGCTCCTGGATGCTGCACAGCTTGTAGGTGTAGGAGTTGCGCTCCCGGTTGATGTAGGTGACAAGGCAGGAGTGGTCAGGCTTGCTAATGATCACCTTGGTGTGGTCGTTGTAGAAGTTCACCTAGGAGACAGGTTGGGCTTGGTTTAACCCACGCTTCCTATAGCATGTCGGGAGCCACACTTCCTGCCTCAACCCGTTCCTCCTCCCCGACCTGCCTGGGAGCATCCCTGCTCCATGCCCCACAGGGGGAACGTGACAGCTCCAGCACCGGGGCAGATGGAAGCAATTAACTGAAGCATCATGTCCCTCATGGGCTGGACAAGCTGTAACCAGCAGCTCCGGGCACTGGAGCAGCATCCTGCACCCACAGCTGTTTTCACAGCTCAACCTTGCATTTGGACTGACAGACTAGATCTAACACAGGCCAGGAGTCCCTAGCTGGCCTCCTCCCCACAAGGGTCTGGTGATCTCCACTGTGCCCCACACATACCTGGAGGGTGCCACTGCTGAAGAGCATGAGCAAGGCTTGGTCAGTCTTCACCCACTGCAGGAGGAGCAGGGCTGGCTGCCCAAGGTCGTCTATGCTGGGCAAGTCACCTCCCTTGAAGAGAAGGGTTTGTGTAAGCCATTAGTACCATACACAGGAGCACTGCCACCAGCACACATACAGGCAGGTCTGGACACACCCCCAGTGGGGTCCCCACTCCCAAGACACAACTTTGTGGGTGCCCACCTGGTCATAGCCTGTGAGCAGGGAGTCCCACAGCTTGGTCAAGCCATGACCAAGCATCCAGCCTACCCATGATCCCAGCCCAGAGCCCCAGCACCCACCTTCATGAGATGCTGCTCCATGTAGGACGCAAAGTAGCGCAAGACACTCATCTGTGCCTGCAGCTGCTCGGGGATGGCAGACACAGAGAACACGAGGTGTTTGCTGTTGGTCGGGTTGTAATGCACAGTCCTGGGAAGGAGCAGACCATGAGCTTTTGGGCCACCCAGCACCAAACCCATGCCAGGCACAACCACCTCTTGCTGCCTGAGGGGCTTCCCCAAAGACATCAGCCACTTGCCCATCGCTTACCTGTGGTTGGGGGAAAGAGTCATGTGCGTGCCATTGTTGAAGAGGACCCCAATGCTGCGGTTGGAGAGCTGGTAGCCAAAGCCATACTTGTTGGAGTAATCCACCCACTTGCTCACCCAGACAAAGTGCTCGTGGCGGGCCAGGGAAGCAGGGTTTTTCTCCGCTGATGGAAAGAAGAGGAGGTGAGCAGAGCAGGTAGCTAGCCCCCACCCACCTCATCAGGGGGAGCAGACCCCCTGCAGCAGGCTGTAGCAGCATTTGAGGTACCCCCAAATAGCAGCCATGCCTTCATCTCATGGGGAAGGGGGTGCACAGCGCCCTGTCCCATCCCAGAGCAGTCTGACCGGTTTACCTGGAGGCATGGAGGAGAGGCAGGTCCGCAGGAGCCAGACAGCTGACTCGATGATGGCAGAGGCGGTGATGCAGTCTTCAAAGGCTGCAGAGAGAAGATGACAGGCTGAGTCAGCTGGCCCTACTATCAGCCAGGGCAGGACAGGAAGCTCAGGACAGGCTGGGGTGGCCTGGGCGGGTATTGCTCACCCTCACAGCTGCTGGCCATCGTCCCTCGGATGGAGGGGGACACGGACTTGTGAGATGTCTCCTCCACCACTGTCTCCACGGGGCTAGAGCTGGCGCTGCGGCATGATATGGGGGTGGCCTGTGGAAAGACCTGCCCTTAGCACTGTTCTGCCAGCTCCCTCAGAGGGGTGTGCACAGGCTCAGGGATGTTCTCACCTCATTCCCTTCCACAGTTTTATAGCTCATCTGCCGACAGATTGAGGTCTTCATCAGCCCGGTGACCAGCTTGGAGATGTCATCCTTATCCTCCGAAGAGCCCTTCTTGGCTGAGAAGAGAGCAAGTGATGAGCACAGGGGATGGGGACATCAGGGCCACCCCTCCCAGTAGATCAGCTCTCTCTTGTCTGTTCCCATGCCCACGGTGGCAAGGATGGTGTCAGGCAGCTGCCTCCCACTTTCACTTCCCAATTCTCATGCAACACAGGGCTTCCAGGAGGAACTGGGCCCAAGGGTTGCGGCACAGCATCCGCTCTCCAGGCATACACCCATGCCAGGCCACCAGCACCAGAAGGGCAAAGGCAAGCCCAGCTTGTGCTGGCCCTGGGCAAGGGGCCCAGGACACCCACCAGGAGGTCTCTCCAGGAGACAGGGCCCACTTCTCCCTGCAGAAAGGGAAGCTCCCCCAGAGGTTCCTGGGCAAGTGCATAGACTCACCCTTGGGTTTCTTCTTCCCAAAGAGTGTCTTGGTGACTTTAGCGAACAGACTCTTTGCTGGGTTGGGGGGACTCAGCTCTGGAGCCATCACGCAGCTGCTGGGAGGGAGCTTCTCAGGCGTGTAGCCCTGCAGAGAGGTCAAGGCGGAGGTTTGGTTTCCATTGCCCACGTGCTCCAGGCAGAGCAGCTGCCCTGGGCTGACCGCAGTCAT